AAAAAAAAAAAAAAAAAAATCATATTTCAATTGATGTGTCCTGCCTGCAGATAAGACGCCCCCCCACCTCACACCCTCTGCCTCCTCTCTTTCCACCCAGCCCACCCCAGGTACTTCAATCAGCTCTCCACAGGATTAGACATGGTCGGACTGGCAGCCGATTGGCTCACATCCACCGCCAACACCAACATGTGAGTGTATGCTGCCTGGCTCATCACGATTTTAAATGGTGATAATGACGATGACAATGGATTCTGTGTGTGTGTGTGTGTGTGTGTGTGTGTGTGCTGTGTCTGCAGTGGCTGATAGCAGCTTTTTTCTACCCCCCCCCCCCCTTTTGTTCACTCAATCATTCCAAATGAAAAGGGGTGAAATGAAAGGCAGACCCCTCCCCTCACCCTCCCCTCTTCACTCCCCCTGCCGCACCCCTCCCCTCCATCCCTCACCCCCCTCCTCCCCTCTCGCCCCTGTGGGGATTCAAGGGGAGAAAATTAGCTCTGAAATTAAATTCAAACTAATCTGGAGCTAATTTCACCGTGTGTGTGTTTTTTGGGGCGATAAAGGCCGGGCGAGCGTCGGCCTTGGCAACCGTGAGACACTGCAACATAAACCTGATGTTGACGGGTTTTTAAAATGAGAGCAGCTAATACACCGTGGACTAATGGAGAAATGTATCAGCAGGAACATACTGGGAATGTACTTCTCATTTAAAATATGCAGCAGGGATGAAAATGTGAAACTACTGTACAACACAGAGAATATATGAGGGCAGACATGTTGCCTTCAGGGTGTAGAAAAGGAAATGTAAATCCTAACCCTTTCCCAAACAGTCTTTAAATGTTTGCTGCTCAGGTTGCACATTATTCCTTCATATTAATGTCGATAGCTGCAGAAGCCCGACGTTATGTTGCACTTTGTTTAGCGTGTTATCATTTACAAACAAATACTTTCACATTCATGTGCATTTTATTGATCACATCTTTTTGAACTACACTTTTTTGATGTCTTATCGTCTGCACCTGACTGCGAGCCAGTGGAGGATCTCGGATTTTAAATCTAAATCAGAGATCCACAATTTACACAAAGGGGCCAATTATTTGTCCAACATCTGTGCAGGAGTCCTGATTGAGTCCTTGTTTCAAACCAAGTTTATCACCTGAGATCTAAACATGAAACACACAAACTGCAGAGGAAAATAACTGAGGAGAATGTTTGTTTCGGGGCGATGAGTCATGGCGTGTTTTGTGTAACCGGCGCCACGTGATGTCCCTTGTGTGACGTAGGTTCACCTATGAGGTGGCTCCCGTCTTTGTGCTGCTGGAATACGTCACTCTGAAGAAGATGAGGGAAATCATTGGCTGGACTGACGGACGAGGAGACGGCATTTTCTCTCCTGGTACGTTTGCATGTGTGAGGCGTCGCCCACCCTCCCAGAACCCCCTCTGTTTCACTGCAAATGGAATGTGTGTGTGTGTCAATTTGCATTTTGATGATATAGATGGAACTCATTTCAAAGCCAATTGGCATGGAATCATTTTCCCAACCTCGGCCCCCTCCTCGTTAAGGCCCCAGTGTTTAATTGTGGTTGTCACATGATGAGGACCAATCACTGCAGAGTTAAATGTCCGACTGTGATTGGCTGGAATGTGCAGCTGTGATGCTGCAAACAAAAGATTTTAGTCTTTGTTGTTGTTTCACAGTTTTAAAGACACAGAAACTCAGCGTCGCTCCCGTGAGGCCTCTCTGTGATAGATCACCCTGACCCTCTCTGTCCTGTAGGTGGTGCTATTTCCAACATGTACGCCATGCTGTTGGCCCGCTTCAAGATGTTCCCTGAAGTGAAGGAGAAAGGAATGTCATCTGTTCCCCGACTGGTGGCCTTCACGTCTGAACACGTAGGCATCGAATCAGCTGACAGTCAATATACGTATCATATTAATCACTGATCCATATTTTAGCTGTTTCCTGTTATCAGACGTCAAAGATCTTGTCCTCCGGTGCGTGAAAAACAGAAAATGGCTCATCCGTTAGCCGTGGCTGTGACTTTCACAGATAAAAACCTGACGTCGTGTGTCGGCCTGAAGGACACGAGGTCACTTCACCTCTTTCATCCGTTAAAGGATGTTTGAAAGATGCTGTGAGCAAAAAGCCACAAAAAGCAGCCAAACCTTTTTCTTATTATAATTGAATCAGTTTAAATCCCCGGCCTCCTGTGATGTGCTGTCACACTGATTTTTCCTCCGGTATCTTTCAGAGCCACTTTTCCATCAAGAAAGGAGCAGCAGCTCTCGGCATCGGGACTGAAAGTGTGATCTGCATCAAAGTCGACGAGAGGTAAAGTCAACCTTTTATCTCAGTATATGAATTGCAGTACTTTTACTTGAGTACTGTGCTCAAATACAGTTTTGGGGTACTACCATACAAATAGTATTAATAATGATGATGATGATAATAATAATAATACATTTAATTGTATGTTCTCTTTCTAAACACCCAAGGACAATTTAAAGTAAATCATATAAAAACAAAAATAATTAAATTAAAATATTTACATCAATCAGAGGAACACACCTTACAATACATTGCATATAAATAGTAACACAATAAACAACTTGTGCCACCAATAATTTCCTATTTTGATTTAATTAAAGCATTTTCTTCTGCGTCTGAATTCACAAACAACCCAGTAAACAAGTGTTGTGTTCTCACAGCGGTAAACTGATCCCAGCCGACCTTGAGAGGAGAATACTGGAGGCCAAACAGAAGGTAACGTGATGCACGTCTGAATCCCATCAGCCACCGGGACGAGGAGGGAAAGCATCGCTTCACGTGCACCGATTTTTCACGTGTGTTTGTGTTCACGCAGGGTTTCGTACCTTTCTTTGTGAGCGCAACCGCTGGAACAACCGTATACGGAGCCTTTGACCCGCTCATCCCCATTTCTGACATCTGCAAGAAGTACAACATCTGGATGCATGTGGACGTGAGTAAAAATAAGCAGAAATCTACACACACACACACGTGATGCACAGTGTCTCAGGACTTTACTGAAGGAACACACAGAAAAGACAGAGCTCACCAGAGATTCTGACAAATCTATTACGTCTGTCTCGCCTCTAACTGCCTGCGGTTGACCCAGATAGGAGCCGGCCATTTCCTATCTAACACTGGAGATTAGAAAAACTGGAGCAGAGGCCGTAAATCATCTCCCTCCCCTGACTTTGCCATCATGGCCTCTCTCAGTGAAGCGTCTATTAATGAAGGTGATTTAGTCCTGACGGGGGACACACATCTATTAGGAGACAGAGACGGCCTTGTCCCGGCCTCCTCCACTGGCTCAGACGGGGAAACACCACGTCCTGTTTGTGGCACATGACGATGATGTTGTTGGTAAACATGTGTGAGACGTTGGAGCCTGTTTGTCGACACGTGACCGAGGCAGTAATCTTCACGATGAAGATGCCGACATGAATCTGTCTCTGGACGTTTTGTTGACAGGATCATTACACACGTGTGCTGGTCTCCATTACACAGTTTGTCCACTAGAGAGCAGCGGCAGGTTTATCTGTCCAGTGCAAAACATCTTGTACAGATCATGTTGTGTTCGTACTTAACGTTAAATGCACAAGTGGACTCACAACCAAAGCTTTAACGTGTTTTCACTGTGTCAGGGTGCATGGGGAGGAAGTCTGCTGATGTCCAGGAGACACAGGTGGAAGCTGGACGGAGTCGACAGGCGAGTTTTTCTTCCTTTTTCCGTGGAAACGCAAACAAATAGAAGCTGATGAGGGTTTGAAATAATGATGCATGATGGTTGTTTGTGTTGTTTTTGACTGCAGAGCTAATTCAGTCACATGGAACCCACACAAAATGATGTCAGTCCCTCTGCAGTGTTCGGCCCTGCTGGTCAGAGAGGAGGTACGTCCCCTAACACGGCCCACAGGGTCACTGCGTTCTATTCAGGGAGTTCACGACATGTAACCGTCATGGTGGCTGTGATTCCTCCGCAGGGTTTGATGCAGAACTGCAACCAGATGCACGCCTGCTACTTGTTCCAGCAGGACAAACAGTACGACCTCTCCTACGACACCGGGGACAAGGCGCTGCAGTGTGGACGCCACGTGGACATCTTCAAGCTGTGGCTCATGTGGAGGGCCAAGGTGAGAGGAGGCTCAGTGCTACAGGTCAAAGTTGTTCATTGGTGCTTTCAAACAGGAAAAGTGAAAAACCAACAGGGAGCCACAGCGAATTTCAAACACTGAAATATCATTAGCTTGTTCTGTTCAAACTATTTATTTTGTTTATTTTATCTTTTTAACATTTCATACACACGGTGGATTGGCAGTTTAATGTCTTAGTTAGAAATAAAAAATATAAATAAGAGTAATTATGAGTTATAATGTGAAGAGGTCTGAGTTAAAATCACTGGTTTGTGTGTTTTTGCTGCCAGTTGTTGGAAGTTTTATTTATCTATTCACAACACTCCCGCGCTGCGTGTGTGTCTGTACACTGCGCGGTTCAGTAAAACAGAAACTGACGACAGGGATTCAAGTCAAAGCTGAGACTCTGGTGATTTATCCAACTTGTCAAAGCAGCACAAAGAAAAACAGACGGATGAGCTGCAGCAAACAGAGAACGAAGGTTAAAGAATACATGAATAGAAAATCACACAGAATCTTATTCTAATCGCATCATAGTCAAATTTCAATTGACATGAAGGTCTTTATAAATGTTATTATATAATATAAACTCCAGGATGTTCTCGGTGTAAAGTGTCTTATCGCAGAAAAATGGAAAACATAACAGACAGTGAAAACAGATGTGACTCATTTCCCTCTCAGGGCACCATCGGGTTCGAGGCTCAGATTGACAAGTGTCTGGAGCTGTCGGAGTATCTGTACAACAAGATCAAGGACAGAGAAGGATATGAGATGATCTTTAACGGGAAGGTACGTCCACGTTCCATCATCCGCAGCAGCTCCCTCCACGCTGCTGCTTCTACCTCAGTGTGTCCAGTTGCATGATGGGAGACTTGATTGGCACACAGCGTTGCTCTCGCTTTGTGTCGGCTGAATGCCATTTTTTACCTCTGGCTGCCAGTGTAATGTGCTGCTATTATGTTTAATGAATAGCATAATGGCCTTTGATTGCTCATCTGCATATGAATAGCACGGAGTCTGAAAGATCCTCCACCGTGCGGAGCTGCAACAACACAAACGTGCGGGTACGACGGGTTATTAAGCTAAAAAACTCTCTTGCTCGGACGCTCTGAGTCGTTTACGGCGAGCGCTCTTTCTCTTGTTGTTTTCCTGCCGAGACACAAAAGGCTAAAAGCATCATAACCCAGAGGGCTGATGGGAGAAACGCCAAGTGCTCTAGGCAGCGGCCCAGGTGTTCACTTGTCTGTGGCTCCCATTAAGCCTTTACATCAATGTGCTGTTGAATATACAAGCATCAAACCAGCCGTATAAACGAGGCCGGTGTGCACGACTGCTCATCTGTTGGAATGGATGCTCCCAGTTGTGAGGTGTTTTCAGACAGAGAGGAGGAGCAGGAGGAGGAGGAGGAGGAGGAGGAACCTGTCCGAGGCCGGGAACACAAACTGGGTTTAATTTAGTAAGATGTGAAATCTGTCAACAGAAAATCAGCTCGTAGGTGAAATGGATGCGATGCTTTTATTTCCAGCATTTCTTCTTTTGGAGGAATCTGTAGGATTTCAGACCAGACCAGATTTCAGAATTTTTGTTTGTATGTTTGTATGTTTGAATATTTATTTGACGCTTTTACCGTTTTACCATGATACTGATCCGTTCTGTTTCCACGATGATGTGATTCCACAAAACATAATTGCCTCCCTGCTCTACATGGTGTTTGCTGTCGTGTGACTGTGACTCGTGTCGACTGTGCGTCTCCACAGCCTCAGCACACCAACGTCTGCTTCTGGTACCTCCCTCCTGGGATCCGCTACATGGAGGACAAAGAGGAGAGAAAGAAACACTTGCACAAGGTGGGTGAGCCGAGATAAGACGCCTGACTGCAGTCAAAAAAAGAAAAGCACCTTTCACGTGGCCTGCTAACCTTTTTCTTTCATGTCCAGCCTGACCGTTACATGTCCCCCTCATTAGGGACGACAAAGACGTTCAGTTACACAAAAACCCACTTGTGAAGACTGGTTTAGAAGTGTGACGGAGAGGAGGGAGATCACATAGCAGACTCGGAGGGAGTGAGGTTATTCAGTTAGCTGAGGTGACGGCCGTTCAGAGGGTCCCTCAGCAGCAGGGGTCCACTAATTGACAATTAGGACAAACAGATGGAGTACGTGCCAGCCATACAAACGAGCCCCCTCCTCCCCGACGTTAACATCTTTGTCATAATCCGTCTCATGGAGAGGTTAGAAAGAGCCGCGTCATCGTGCTTCAGCGGCCGAGGGGCCGACCAGATTCTTCTTTTACTCTGACTCAGACACCGAGCTCGAGTCGAGACGTGTCCCAACTGGTTTTTTCTGAATTTCCACTGACTCTTTCTCGAGGAACCTGGAAAAGACGTAAACCTGCAGCTGCTGACTGATTATTTTCCAGCTCGACACCTGCAAGACATTTAGAAATGACTGATTCTGTGATGAGAAGTGTGACACGCCTGCCTCAGCGTCTACATGAGCCTCTATGCATGACTAACTACTCCAGCAGACTGTAATTGTACAAGTGAAATTCAAACCAACTCTTATTCCTTAAGGAACTTCCTACACCTCCAGAGTTATTACATTTCATTTACCTTCGGGGATCAAGAGTATATATATACATATATATTAAAATTCCTCCAGGTTATTTGAGTCTCAGCTCTGAAGCTGAAGCATCTTGTTACTGAATCTTATGCTGAAGTCACGTGGAGATATCGAAAAAATACTGACAATGATTCCTAAGATGTTAACGTTACGATAAATAATTATTAATGAAAAGAAAATTCAAATACAACCAATTGAACTCATTAACTCAGAGTTAAAATAAACACGTGTGTTGTCTCATTCGTTCACTCTGGACGTGTCTGGATCTTTCAGGTGGCTCCGGTGATTAAAGCCCGGATGATGGAGTACGGGACGACCATGGTCAGTTACCAGCCACAAGGGGACAAGGTCAACTTTTTCCGCATGGTGATCTCAAACCCCGCCGCCACCTTCGAGGACATCGACTTTCTTATCGAGGAGATCGAACGACTCGGCCAAGATCTATAAGACTCGTCTCACCTCGTCCTCACGTTCTTTTCCCCCTTGACGGATGAATTGTTTGTCGTGAATGTACCGGTAAACGTTTCTTTTTTCTCTCTTTCCTCCAAAGTCACATATTTAAGAATATATTTGAGAAAAAAAAACAGATAAATCCATATATTATGTATCGTAGCTTTGCCGTGGGCTGACTTGGTCCAAAACGATGTAAAAGTGCTTCTGTCTGCTTCTCCTGTAGTGTAGATCCCAGAGTAGTGTCGGTGATGTAACTTGTACTTTTTTGTGATATGAAGGCTTGTGCAATAGGTCGATGAGGAAGAGTTTATTTTTCAATCATCTCTCATTTGCCCAGTTTGTTGTTTAAGTGCCAAACGTGGTTGTGTTCTATTGTAACTTTAACTTTTAAACTTCTGGTTTTAAAACTTTGAAAAGAGAAAAAAAAAAGCACTTCACCTTACCTCAGCTTATTCAACTGCCTTCACATCTGCACATAATCCTCCTCGCAGTGATTCTCATGTAGTGAACCAGCACATGTTCAAAAAATAATCCCCACTGGAGCGCACGGTTGTTTGGATTCGGAAGAAAAACTGATTTTCAGTAAATGCCAACGACAGAAAAGTAAATTCAAAGGATGTTGGTCCATGCGGATCTCAACATGTGCATCACGAACAGGCTTTATATTCATAATAATCTAAGATTAGAACGATCAGCACTTCAGAGGTTCATGTGAAGTTATTATCCTTCAGATTTTCTTCAATTCATGTGGTCGTTTTATAATATATTTGGAGATTTTCTCTCTTAATATGAGTTTTAATTGTTGGCAGAGATTTGACCTTGACAGACCTTTTCATTTTGGATGTAATAGATTTTAAATTATCAAAAAAATCTTTAATTTCCGACATCCACGTCCAAAATAAACCTTATGCACAAACTCCAGCTCGAACCCAAAGACCCAAACAACTGCAAATTGGGTTTATTTCCACTCGTCATGCATTTAAGTCGTGATCTGTGAAATCTGATTCCAGGTCCGTCTTTTTGCTGGTTTATGCTCAAGTTAGCCGGCTGGACAGATTGCTGCTCCTTCTCTGTGGTATTCGACTGGATCGTCTGGTTAGCAGAGATGTAGTTCGATATTCTCTGCATATCGCCCATGCAGTCCTCGTCTATGATGGGAAGAATTGTGTGAGAGCCAGCGGACAAACTTTAACACAAACTTTTTATCTTTGCAGAATTTTTACAATCACAAAACAAAACCATAAAATGGAAAAAGAGGAAAGAAAAACTTGTCTTCTTTAAAACGTTTTGCCGTTACCCTCACTAACACGACTGAATCTTAAGGATGATAACTTTATATTCGCAAACCTGTCATTAGTATAAAATATATTAGAGAGGTTGTTCTGTAGTTGGGTTTTTGGGTGAAGCACTTAACTGGAAGGTCGAGGATTGATCTTTAGAAACTGGGGCAATAATCGTTTGAGTTAATTCCCTTCACCAGATCTGCAGCTACTGTAAACCTGACATCACTTGCACTAAGTCACCAGGGGACGAAGAGCATCCCTTAGCATTGCAACTGAGATTTAATCCATTCGCAAGCAATATATATATATATTCCAGTGTGGGTCCAATCTTATAAAACCCTGCAGACATATTAAAAAGTGACGGTGAACTCACGTGTTGACGATAATCAAGTCTCCTGACCAAATGTTCCGTAGCTGGCAAAAAAATAAAATAAAGTTTAGAACATGCTTGATGTAGGCGGGTTAGAACAGAGGTTCTGTAGCATTTCCATTAGTTAGAAAAGCACAATTTGCTCAACATGGTCGGTCAGTGTACAATCACTTTTGATCATAGATTGTAAATAGTATTTCAAGATGTCCTGAGTACATATCTTTGTGTATACATATATGTATATAAGACGTATAACCAGAGAATATTTGTGAGGTAAAGTTATTCATATTTTCTCTATCTCCGATATAGATTTACTTGTATTTTCATCCTGTTTGTCCAAAAGGCTTTTGTGTGTGTGTGTGTGTGTGTGTGCGTGTGTGTGTGTGTCACATACTTGATTATTTGGTGTGTGACAGAAAACGTGTTTCAGGGACTGGCTTTAAACAAACCGACGAGTCGCAGACGAACAACGAGACTCTGACGTTTGGATCTTACGTAAATATGCAAAGCCATTTAAACTCTGAAGCCCTGTGTTTATTTCTTTGTTTTTCATTTGTGTGTGTGTGTGTGTGTGTGTGTGTGTGCTCAAGTGATAATTGACGGTATGTGCCAACGTTTACCGTAGCGTGTTTGTAACTGTGTTGCCTTAGTATAAATTTGCCAGTATTGTCTAGTTTTTCCTCCGCAGGGGAGGTCGTGCACTTTACAGTATACACATGACCTAATAACGTGCAATGTCCAATGGTTGTCCATGTTTTAAACGATTATTATATTCCAAAAAAATGTAACTTTAAGCTCTTTGGTCTGAATGTGACAAGAATCAAGGGTCTTTACAGAAGAGGGAAGGATTATTTGAAGCGTTAATATTTATACATGAATTTGTTTAACTACCTTTAACTAGCCTATAATTATCGATCCCATTGATTTTACCTTTCTGAAAGCTAAAATTTGGCGTTCACACTGTGACACGGACAACATCAGATGTGAAACAGCGACAAAGGAATCTCACTGTGGTAGTCCTGGAAAACCAGACGCGTTGCACCTCTTGCTGCTGCTGCTCGACTTTGCTTCCTTTGCACGTGCATGCGATGCCTTGCCTATCCAGCTTGTTTGATATACAGTGTCCTCTATATCTATTTATATATCCATATATATACAAATATACATTATGTGTAGCACCTGTACTTATAGCTTGAGTGTCTGATGTATAGCTTGTAGCCTGTAGACTAGTGCACCGTCGCTCTGGCCTTTACATGTGATCTCTCGTGTCTTTGGGCTTCCTATAAAGTGTCTCCGTGCCGCCAGCATGCTAACCTCGCCTCGCATTGTATACCTCGCCGCGCTTGATCTGACTATCTCTATCCTCCGTCTTTCTCTTCTGCTCGACGACTGTCGCCGCTTCTGAACGTAGAGTATTATATATCTATATACGTGTGTAGTCCCTCAGCATGTCTCTCCGAAAGCTCGTCTCCGCTTCCGCACCTGTACGACCGTTTTTCTATCTTTCTATCTCTTCCGCTTTCGCCCTCTGGTAGCAGCGAGAACGTCTCTCCCGCGCTTTCCTCTCAACCTTTCCACGGCCTCCCGCTGTCGTTCTGTTTGTTGTGTCTGAGGCTGGTAATGTTGACTCGTGTCATGGTGCCACGGCATTTTGTTTTCCCAAGACCCTTGACTCTACGGGATGTATGAGAAAGAGAATTAATAAACATTTTTTGGCTCGATTGTCCAAAAACATGTCTGATGCAGGTGTTCTTAGCCTTTAGCACAGAAACAGAAAACGTGTTCCCTGGTTTCTTGCTCACAGGAAGTATTGTTTGTTAAAGAGAACAATTTAAACCCCGACTACTCAGAGTGCAGTTCATTTTCACTGAATATAAATCATATATTCTGCAAACTGCTCTGCTAGCTTCTCTAAAACTTTCATCTGTCCTGAACTAATGTTACTCCTGGGAAAATAGAAATAAATATTGTCTAAACAAACGTGTTTGAATCTGTCTTCTTCTTTCTTTTTGCTCTCACACAAACAGGAACATTTCTCACCGGCACCTTTATTATGCTTCATATAGAAGCTTCATTTCTGTTTCACTGCGAACAGAGAAAAAGTAGAAATTGTTATGTAACGTGGTGCAGTTGGTCCTTGAAAAGGAAAAGTGGCCCTTTGAGGCCATTCTACGAGGGAAGGACGTGTCATCAGCGTCGGAACAGCAGCGTTCATATTTATATTTTATTTTCTGGTCTTTTATGAAATAATGTCAGTAAAATAAGATGAAGTTTATTTATCCCACGCTGCAGAGATTCACTTGTTACAGCAGCAGGTTCACTATCTGACAAGATAACATGTGAAAGTATTAAAAAAAAAAGTAAATATGTAGTTAACATACGACTTTCACTATAGATTGAATATTATGAAAACGACTGAAGTGAAGTGGCACAAGTGTATTTGTGCATTTTGTATGAGGAGATGTTGAACCCTAACCCTAACCCTTAAAATGTGTTGAATAGATCTCTCACAGCGTCACTGGAAGATTAGGAGCTTCTCTCTAGGTGGCACTGTTCCCTCAAAAACAGGGAGTGAATCTCAGACAAATGAATTTTAGACAAATAGAAATGATTTTCCATCACTGTCTCAATGAGATGCTGTTTTACATTTTTCTCTTAATTATCTCTGATTACACAATGTAGGAAACTTCAACTCAGACTATGTGAAACGCTACCAGATGTGTTATCTCATCCCCCCCCCCCCCCCCCAGACACTCACAGTAGACAGAGAGAATATCCACTCAGATTGAGAAACACCCTGTTTATTAAAGTGTCACAAGGGCCCAGATAAGAAGGTGAAACTTGTGATTTCATAAAAACATCTGTGGAGCACACAGTCGGAGGGAACGGCTGATTTTAAACCGAATCTGTCCAGTAATCAGGATAACTGTTTACACGACGAGGTCCAGCAGCACAGGCCTTGATCAATCTCCAAAACCTGATCAGAGGCGAGCTGGTTCAGACTCTCGCCGCTGAGTCTCCCTTCAGTCCGCTGATATCGATCACGTTGACACATGAAGCACTGACACACAAACGTCTGGACAAACCTTTGGACCTGCTGCACACGGTCCAGATGAGTTTTCACGATTCACAACAACTTGTCCAGCTCATCCTCCATTAATTATCATCAAGTGATTTACCTGTGTACTCTCAACATCACTTTGTGTCACGAGGCCTCGAAATTAATTTCAAACAACCTCGACCGGCTGCGTCTCATTCTTCCGCGCGGTCTAAATATTTTCTCCACTGCCCTCGGAGAATAATAAGAATAATGATTAAATAACCAGGTCTGGCGTTTCTCAGAGACTTCCCCCCCTGCAAAGTTTCACCTATGTTCCCACATGAGCAGTTTATCACGGCAGCGTCTGCAGCAAACCCCCCCACCACCACCACCACCACCACCACCATGTGACAGACATGGCCGGCCCTGAGGAGGCCTGACGCTCTAATCCTACCATGCGATTACACAAAGAGGGAAGGAGCAGCTCTGTCCAAACTCACAGCGTGAAGTTAGAAGAATTGTAGCAAATATGTCATAAAGTTGAAGACGGCGACGTTACTCCGCTCTCAAACTCGCCGGAGATTTACGAGCAAACCGGCAGATGGTAAAATCAGGGTGGCTGGAGAGAGGCTCACCAAAGCATTCTCACAGAAAGGCCAAAAGGATTCTCATGGTCATATAAACGACTGAAGTGTGTGTGTGTGTGTGGGGGCAGATAAGCCGAGCCACATGTTGGAATCGGTGACGTTCACCTCGCGGTCCTCCGGGCCGTACTCTGCCTGAACTCTGCCTCTGCCCTCATGCCAACCCAGAAGCTGGTGGGTCATCCGTTAGTGTTTGGTTTCACTCAGACGCTGCTCGGCTCCCACATGAAAGCCTGCTCCCCTCAGGGGAGAGGCCGCATGCTTGGCTGACAGCAGAAGAAGTTGCTTTTTCTTTTTGGTGTTTATCAGCCGTGGAGGTTCGAGCTTGGATTTGTTGGTCTGTAGGTCAAAAGACGTTCATGGTGTTTCAGTTTAAAGTTGCACAGATCTATATTTTTAAAATTGACAATGACCAGACATGACCTGTGGGTGACGTCCGTGGAATTGGCTCCAGAGTTTTTCTTTCTCACAAGCACAAAACCGCAGGAGGTTTTTTCAGAACAGCTACAAATCCTCTGCATTGCTCAGGGAGAGGTGGAGCGGCAGACAGGAAGGGACGTATTAACTCCGCTGCGGAGATCACGTGAGATTAACTCTCCAGACATCTTCGTCGGTGTCGTCTACGTGTATGTCTCCGCTTTTTCACCGGGAGATATTTGTTTTATTTTGCTCATTTTAGCATCTGAGGATCTCCTGCTGTGTTCTCATGAGCTCACCCGGACATTAGCTACAGTTTTCACTCGGAGGCCGGCCGGAGAAACTTTGGAGAAAGTGTCTCCTGTCTTCTTGTCTCCAACTGGAACATTTGCGTTCTCACGTACGCTCACATTCAGCCCCTCCAGAGTTTATCTGGAGTTCAGTTCATGTCTGAAAGCATCAATTGTTGTCTACTCAACCTCCTGGGTCAACTCTGACTTTATATTTTCCGTAGCTGTACATAAAAAGTGTTCCTGTGCGATGGAAAATTATTATTATTAACATTTCATATGTGCTCAGTTTCAGTTTTACCTCCAAATTCCTCGGTTCAGATAATCTGGTTAAACGGAACCTGTTGGAGCCATCATGACGTCCATCTTTATAGAGTCGATGCCGTGAATTCATAAATGTAAGTAATTCAAGTTAGAGCCGCTTATGTTCAACATTCTTGTTCTTGTTTGCCACCCTGAGGTCGATTATTGCAGAAATTCAAACAGAAACTCGATAAAAAGATTCTCAGGAGCGATCTGCTGACGTTAAACTTCCTCAAGAAGTCTCTGATTAGTCTTTCTGCAGTTGGCTGTTGCCTGTATCGACTGACTGTTTCCATAACTATAATATTTTACTCCATCACACTTCTGTAAGTACGACGTCACTAAAAGACGCTCATAATTCAGTGTCTTGTTTTCTGCTGATCCCACTTTGTTCGCACTTTGTCGTTCTCGTTAGCTGCTCTGACTTCACTGTGCACCCGGCCTGCTACACAAACCTACGCCATGTTCTGTCGCAGAGCAACACACACACACACACACACACACACACATCACTCAGCTCAACTCATCGTAGTATATGCAGAGTCATTTGTATGGATGCATTCAGTGAGATAGTTAATCTGTAAGCGCCTGCCGGAGAAAGCAATTAACCTCGCGGACCACCGGGGAGTCGATGTGAGTGAGAGAGCATCTCTCCGCCGTTTAAATATACACCAGAGGGACTCGCTCGCTCACTTTCAGCCAAACGATTATTCATCATCAGCGCTTTCAATGGCCTCTGCATGAAGACAGCAAGACAGCTCTCACTCCCTTTTACGTACACACACACACACACACACACACACACAGGTATTTATTTCCACACCCACACTGACTGATCCCAGGGCTCTGGAGTTTCAGATTGCCCTTGACGCAGAAATGATTAAGGTCAGCTAAAGAACAAGAAAATTAAACGCTGCATTCCTGGTGATCAGGGGAATTTACCAGATACTGGAGGGAACTATGCACAACTCCTGCCAAGTCTGGGAAAGCGACACGGAGCATGTCCTGCATGATGATTTTCAACGTTTGCTCAGAGTAAATATTCCACCGGCAGCGTTTTTTAACTTTTATACGATGAGAGAAACTTTTCTCTTCTTCCTGTTCAGTGCCAAAACTGGAACTTTAAAGGAGTTTTGCTGGTTAAACGTATTTTCTGTTTGTTAGACCCAGAAAACTTTTCACAGGCCTTTTCGATATGAAGCCCAGTCTGTGTTTGTGGCGGCGGATCTGCCAGCTCATTCCCTCATGCATCAGTAACTCCTCTAATGAGGAGAGAAACACCGGCACAGATGGACGGAGGAGGGGAGGAAGATGAGGGAGGACGATGGAGAGTTTGTGATGAAATGAAGACTGAGAGAAAGCCAGTTAGAGACGTTGAGCTACAACTAATGACTTGATTATTACTCACTTTATAATTTTCTCTATGAAGTGTAGTTTATAACCTGTACTGCAGACAGCCACCAGGGAGCTTTCATGTCTTTAATCATTTATATACAGTCTCTGTTACAGAAGGTATTTTATTTTTATTTTAACGTGTCCACTGCTCAAACTCCCTGAAATCAAAATGTGACCAGAACGCACTTTGTTTGTTTCTTCATTAAAGCTCTTTATAAGAAGGCGTCACTCACACAGGCTTCAACGATCACACTGAGTTTGAAAAGTTGAGAAAGTAAAACGTCACCTTTAAGTGGTGAAATAGCCACAGTGCATGAAAAAAAAAAAAAATCCCCGTTGTGTCAGGTCCAATGAGAAATTGCAAAAGCTCTCGGAGCATCTGGAATCTCACCAGCAGAATGATGCAGCCTCATACTTTCGCCTCCAACACAATTACCTCTCACAGTCAGTCAATGGCACATGCACTCGGTATCACAGCACAACATACTAAATATGGCCAAACCTATAAAAGAAAGGGGTAAAGTGAGTATTTGTTGGTCATTAAGAACATTTCAAACAGATCTGTGCCAAGGTTTCATTTAATTTATGTCATAATAAAATGCTGCAGCATGTTTCATGATCCAGTAAGTTTACATACAAACCAACCGACCAACAAACGGACCGGGGTGAAAGCAGAACCTCCTCGTTGGTCGTGATGAAGACATCAAGGTGGATTTCATTTCCCTGTTTGGACTGTGATGTGATTTATCCTCAAAAGAAAACCAACAATCTGGGTAAAAAAAATAGAATTACCATCATAACAAATTTCTTCACACCCCATAAATCCAGTGTGGATTCTCACTGTAAAACACAGCGGAGAGGTCAGCAGCATCAAACCTGAACACATGGGCTCAACATGTCCCCCTGGACAAGAGGCCTCGGCTCTTACACAAACATCCGCTTCTGATTAAAACAAGCCCGTCTCCGGCTTTGAGCAACATCTGAGCAGACCGGGGTCAGGAAGGTGCTCGCCGCCACCACGTTGCTTTCTCTCAGTGACCAGATTCAGGGTTAGAATATTGTACTGAGCATGAAATAGCGGGTGAATCGGTTTTTGAGCTTTTGGAGATGTCAGTTGTGTTGCAGGAAACTCTCTCGCGTGCCATCGGCTGTTTGAGTGGTCTCCAAATCCTCAGAAAGCAAATAAACTCACAACAGATGCATTGCGGTGATGAATGATGTCTTTCTGCTCTGCCACAGAAACACTAGCATGCAAGTCTGCGGCCCGTCGAGCCGCATGGCACCTTTTTGTTTTTCACACACACACATTATTTCTGAATCGAATCCCTGAGATGTTTGGTCGCTTGATTAATTTGTGTTAATTTGCGAGGTGTGCGATGTTGGTTCTCATGTGTTTATGAAAGATGAACTCATATGCGACCCAGCGTGATAGAATGCAGCAAACGTTTGCTTCTAAAGCTGATCACATGAAAGACTTGTCCATAATGAACCCAGAGGGAATTATTACCCAGCTGCACTCACTTCGACGCAGCTTAACAGCGACTGTCGGCTCATTTGTTTTTGTTTTTCGGGCCCACAACTACTCTTTTGGTTAAATCTTGTTGCTCTAATAGCATTTTTTCCAGTTGCACAAAGCATCTGTTTTCTTGTGCAGTAAGCTAAACAGTATAAAACCCACCTGCACTCTGCCTCCCCAGCACCAAATGGCAGACGGACAAAGTTAATAGCGGAACATTTGGCAACTGAAGAGCCACATAGTTTCCTGTGGTGGACACCAAAACCAGCTCTAAAGGGGGCGGGGCTGACATTCACCAGGTGCCCAGAGACGTGACGACTAATTAAAGATAATTGTGCTTCATTTTGGCTGAATCAGACTCTTTGCTGACAGGTTTTCCATAAGAGGAATTATTTAAAACGTGTTTACGGCCTGCTCCTGAGAGGCCAGAGAAGGTTCTGTAGCTGCAAGGCAAACAAACTCATTTGATTTCACTATTGGATATACTTACTGTATTTTCCGTGCAGCCAATCTGATGCAGAATGTTTAAATATAACATAAATAATGCTCTCGAGACTTTGGATAAAGTATAATACTGTAAAAATGTCTGTCTGTGAGCAGCATTTCTCAAAAACTGCTGAACCAATGTCCATTAAATAAGAATCCATAACATTTTGTAGTGGATGCAGATCTATGGGTGGAACCGGGATTTTATTTTCACTAGCTTGAACATGTTCATTAGCCTTGAGGTGGAGGTATTCCGCCCTCTAGTTTAGGCCCCAGGAAGGCAGCGTGAAGCGAGTTTCTTTTTTTGTTTTTTTGCAGGAAACAGCTGCTGGAAATGAGGCTGTGACAGTGGAATTTGTCAGAAGTATAACCAAAGCTAAAAGATGCAAACTAAAAAAGCATGGCAGCGCAAGGGGGGAACGACAAAGTTCGGTGGAGACTGGCTGCAGCTTCATCACTACAAGAGAGCCCATTAGTTTCAGCGTCGATAGAATAGAATATATTGATTCGAGCAGCTTTAAAAGACAAAGTTTTCAATAGACTTTTCTTCCTGCTCTGACTCTCTGTCCCCATTCCTCCGTCTGATGTCTGAACTTCTTCATGTGCTGTTGCTCTCATTTGATCTAAAGCGTCAGACATCTGGAGCACTGCTCCGCCGAAAAACACCTGTTTTCAATCCGAGCAACCGACAGAAACATTTGATTGTTTCTTACAAGCAGACACTTTTTTCTCTCTCTCATTGACTCAGTGTGTTTGTTATGTTTAAGCCAGAGAACGTCTCTCCTATAGGTAATAGATGGAAGAATAATTTGAACTTGATTAAGACCAATTCAGGGGAAAATGCAGACGATGATTTTCCAGGTATAATGTCGGGTATTTTGGCACCTCTGCTGCTGAATAACTGTTTTTAAAATAGGTTCAGTATGTGTGAGATTAAATGGAATGAGGTATGTCTTTTAACTTAATAGAAAATAATGGGCATTCAGTATGAAATTTTGATTGTCATGTTGCACAAGTTCACTGTAAAGTAAAGCTCACGAGAGAGGATGAATCATGTGGCCTGACAGGAATTCATTATGTGCACATTTCGCTCGATAAAAAACAGAAATGCTAATCATTAAACATCAGCGATCGTTCAGGGCATCCAGTGAAACCTGAGGTCTTGTGTTTCAGCCTATAACTTGACGTTTGTTGGAACAAAACCAACAATAATATTTGTAAGAGTGATAGTTCTTCTCTGGCAAAAACCACAGTACGTGTACATTTTATTTGGTGCTGAACGAGAATACATGCTTCAATGTGCAGAGAGCCCGGCAACACAAACAAAGAAATTCATTACACACAATGATGTGAGAATAAAGCAGAAGAATTTCACTGCCAGCTTCCCGAATCACTTATTAATGTCTAATTGTTGAGAGGACAGAACACACACAAAGGCAATTAGGGAGGATATGCATGGGCAGCTCTTCACAAAGTATGATGTTTGCACTTTCCATAATACTGTTATACTTGTGCAGATAAGTGTATGACAGAGGCTGTCACTGCAGGTACTTGAATATCAACACTGTCTACTCAGTGCGTTACCGTCTAAACCAAATATAAGCATTCAATAGAGTCAATACAAAAGTCCTGTTGTATGAAAGGCAAATAAATATCATCAAAAACATCAAGTACAAAAACTCTCATTGAAATTTAATGACATTGTGTTCATGAAAAACTCTTCAGCTTTTGGGAAACGTGCACATTTTGGCAGAAAGTTGGACGATGATGTTTGATACCACTCTCTCACATGTGCGCTAAATATGAAGCAATGGGTGGCACAGTGGTAAAGAGGTCAGCACGGTCGCCTCACAGCAAAAAAGGTCCGGTGTTTGAACTCAGTGGCCGACCAGGTCATAACTGAAGACTCTCTGTGAGCCTGAGTGGTGGTTTGTCTTTGTATATCAACCCTGTGATGGACGGGCGACCTGTCCTGGGTGTACCGCGCCTTTCCAATCTCAAGCTGGGATTGGTTCCAACGAGCCTCAAAGGATGAGCCGTACAGATAATGGACGATGGGATGAAGCTGTCAAGAGCAGCATTTTAGCTTAGCTTAGCACAAATGCTGAAAAGAAACGGGCGGTCTGACTCTGTCCCAAAGTAAAAAAAAATTAGCACCAGTTAATTGGAGTGTGGTATCGATCCCCTGAGGCCGGAGACACACTTGCTTTAAATTACGGGCACGTATCACGACTGCATCTGTGCGTCGGTTGTGCACGTCAACGCTACACATCCAAAAGATGCAATGCGCACATGAACGGCAGCAGAAGTCTATTCTGTCATGACGTCATTGATTTTACACGTCTGGTTGTAGGGATGCGAACACGTGACTGAACAGCAAGTATATTTCCAGCTTTACTCTCAACCAGGAAATGAATAAACAGATTTCCCAAAGTACCAAACTACTGCTTTTACTACTGCTTCATTATATAATACAAAAAGGCTTGTTACTTACAGTATGTATGTTAAGTGTATGCAGGGATATACATATCAAAAGACTCACACACATATGCAGAAGTAGGCATGCCACTGTGTCTCACACACACACACACACTATACAAGCACCAGTGCACACAGATGTACACACACACACACACACACACACACACACACACACACTTAGACATTCAATAAAGAATTGGTCACTGCTCAACCAGCCGAAGTACTTCAAGCAAAAGCAGTACTTATTTAAATCATACACAAAAAACATTTCACCATAAAAATCTAAAAAAAGAGATGAAATATACATTTAAAACAATAATATGACAAAATATGTGGAATACGTTTTTCATCAACCAGTATTTTTCCTGGATTTGGTAAATTGTTGAATCTGCTCTGCAATTCAATAATGTGCAAAACTGTCTTTCTTTCCTTTGACCAACTGTTTTAGTGACATTCAGGCTCCGGGAGGCTTCACACCGCCACCCAGAGGATCGAGATGTTAGTGCCTCCCTCGTGTGTTATCTGGTTAACACGCCCACGGATACAGTCCAGAGTCACGTACACAGCTGTGCCGTTCTGCACCTGAAATGAGGCCCTGAGCCCGATGCTGGCCCACTCGCTGCCTTCAGGCATGTATCCAGACACCTGCTGAGCCACAGGACCCGCCTGCCCACTCTGACCTGGGCCTGCCACCTGCTGCAACGTGAGTTTTACTATGTTACAGGAGTGGATCAGCTTCAGGTTGAGCGCGACGTTCGCTGTCCCTTTCTCGTGGAATATAAAGTTCTTCCGGCCGCTCGGCGCGCCTGAGCGGGCCAAGTGAACCTGCGGCGTGTCTGAGCTGATCTGCTGGAACAGCAGCGGTTTGTTCCTCACCGCTCCGAAGGGAAGACCGGTCCTGGACACGGTAGCGGTCAAAGCCGACGACACAGCTGAAGGAATCCAGATGAGGCTCAGCATGCTGATGCCGGTGCTGTCCCCGAAATAACGGATGTTGCACTGGGAGGGAGACGTGATCTCGAAGCTGAGTGTGTCTCCCCTGTCCACGCTCACGGCACCAGAGAGGGTGATGGAGGTGTCCCTGTAGTTGACGCCTGTCTTGAAGGCCTGCGTCGCCTCCACACCCGTCCCGTTGCGGTTAGTGTAAGCGATCAGGGAGAAACCCTCTCGAATGCAGGTGTGGCCCATGGAGTACAGCGCCTGCTGGAGGATGAACTTCACCACGCCGCTCTCTGTGAAGCGCACCCCGCGGCTGTCGTGGGTCAGGCTGATCATGTACGGGTCAGACACTGAGGTCATACGGAACGTCGGGCGGTAGCTGGTCTGGTAGTGGACCAACAGGGACATCTGAGCTGTCATGGCAACAGCGCCGGTATCATGAGACAACCAGAGGAGACTCAAAGAGGGAGCGGTGACGTCGTACACATGAAGATCCTTGCTCTGGTTGCAGTGTTGATTCGGACTCTTCAGCAGGAGGGTGAGGGTGTGATTAGGCTCAACCTCGACTCCGCTGCTGACGCTCACCCCCTGAAAGTACTTCCCATCGGGCTGTTCGATGCGGACGCCACTGAGATCCTGACCCTCCTCCTCCTGGCTGCCGTTGAGCCTCATCCCAACCTGGAGGAAGTTCCTGCAGCTGTGCTTTAATGCAAAGTTATGATCCAACCACACCAGGCCGTGCTGCAGGAAGGTCACCTGCCCCGCTTCGTTGGACAGCAAATCGCTGCTCTCCTTCCCTCGGATGTTCAGCTGAAGCCCCTGGAAGATGTTGGTGCCGGTGGTCCGAGCAGACGGAACTGCAACGTTCGCCGCCCAGGACTGAGAGAGTCGGCTCTCTGAACTCTGGCTGCACACAGCGTCGCTGACGGCCGTGCACGGGACAGAGACAGGCTCTCCGTCACAGTCCGAACAGGCCTGGCACTCCTGCAGCTCCTGGTTGTAGAAGTAGTCGTGGCCGCACATGCCCAGCTCCACTTCCCTCTCAGACACCCCCAGACACCTGAAGCCTCCTGAGCCAGAGAGAAAATATGATTGTATTGTGTGGATGAAAAATACTGAGATTCTTTTGGTTTTAAATAAACTGGTGTGAATGGGTTCTAAGATAAAATCTGTCCATGATCGTAGAATAACTTGTGTTTGTTATCAGCGCCATGTTTTAAACTCACCTGGGGTGTTCAGGCACTTCACTCGCTCCCCACAAATGTTTGGTAGCTCAAGGCATTCGTCTCTGTCCTGTAATTCATACAGATTCATTTTATCTTCATGAAAACATTCTGATATTAATAAAAAATCATTTCCAAAAACCTGCAATACCAATATCTGCTTAAGTTCTGAAGCTGTAAGTAGACATTTTGTGTTTGTGTTTGAAATTGAAGACAAGGATCAATCACTCAGTCTTTGAAAGGTCAGTACCTGGCACATGCGGTCTGCAGTGGACGAGCACTGTGAGATGAGGAAGAAGCCAGGTGGACACATGGTGCACTTCTCACACTGAGGCGGGTCCCTCTGAAAATCACAGAACTCCTCTGGTCCGCAGGGCGAAGGGCATCCCAGCAGAGGTTGAGGGAAATTCGCCTCCCCGACCACGTCCATCACCTTCGTGTCCATGTCCACTTTGTGGACGGCGTAGGACTTCTGCAGGTGGCTGCGGGCCTGGCTCTGCAGCCCCGCCAAGTGGCTCTCAAAGTAGCTCTGCAGCTCGCCCTGCAGGCCCTGGAAGGACACCTGTTTGACGGTGTCCGAGAGGAGGCTGTACTGGGCCTTCACCACGTCCATCTGCTCGTACATGCGCCGCTGCTGCTCCAGGATTTCGCGCTGCTGTGACAGAAGGGCGTCCTGTTGGTCCACGAGCTTCTGCTGCAGGTCGCGGATGACCACCTGCTGGGCGCGCAGGGCCTCCACCAGCTTCTCCTGCCCCTTGGCCAGCTGGAGGTGCAGGATGAGGGCGTCCTCTGAGGGGACTTCATTCTCGCCTGCGATGAAAATAATGCAGAGTGAAAGACGGGAACACACTTGCTGTTAAACAGTGAACTGGAGGAAATGATTAAATGAGATTAAGTCTGGTGCAGAAGTCCGATTTCAGTGAGGTGCTGGCCCCCAGTGTGTGAACACCCAGTGACCCCGCCGACATGAAAGAACTAGAGCTTTTCTGGACAATTGACTTTGAGACATTGTTCCAGTTGAGCTGCTCTAGATGCCCCGCAGATAACATTGAGTTCTAAAGGTCGACAGAGTCCTACCTTGGTTTACAACCCCCACAGCTGATCACAGGTGGAGGAGGTTAAAGCCAATAAAGTGCAGGAGGTGAATTTAAAGGAAATTCAGTGAAAATAATACTTTTTGGATGATTGACTCCTTTGTGTCCTCTTTGGACATTTGGAAAAAGTAAATCAGCCTGAGATCGTCTACACACAACAGATGATGCTGATGATGGAGATAGCAGACCTGGCTTGATGTCACATGTGAGCTGGACACCCAGAGGCGCGCCGCCAAGTTCCGACGAAGAATATCCAAACTCCGGGAAGTCTCCCAGGAACTGCGCGGCTCTGTCGGACAGATGCACGGGAGGACGCTGGCTGGAGACGCTCTCCTCTGAAGCGGCCAGACAGCCCTCACCCACACAGGACTTCGCCCGAGCTTTTGGCCGGATCCTCGGGGGCAGTCTGCACTCGATCCCTCTGCAGTCTCGGGTGTCGTTAGTGGGTTGAAATTGCTTGACAGGAGCGGCGCAGCCCGCGTCCGTGCACCCTGCAGGTAGAGGGAGGACCTCGGGCGCTCTCATCCGTGCGCCTCCACCTCCTCCTCCACCTCCTCCTCCTCCTCCTCCGCCGCTGATGTTTCCGTGTCGCCCGCGTAGAGGCTGCGCGGCCGGGTAGGCTTGCGACGCAGCTCTCGGAGAACCCGGGTACGCGTGGTGTTGGCTGGCCACTATCTGCGCCGCTCTCCCCTGCGTGGTGGGGTTGAATTGCCGCGGCTGCCTGGAGGATCTGCCCCCCGGACAGTGCTCTCCGGTGCACGGTCTCGGATCGCTCGCGTCCCCGCCGAAGCAGTGCGTCCCCCGGCAAAAATCTGCTGCAGCTTGCGCGGTGTTGTGCAGCGAAACCCAGGAGAGCAGCAGCACTGATGTTAGTAAAACCATGTTTGCATGAGAAAAAAATCCTTCTCTACCTGCAAAAGCAGAATATGCACGTTTAAGCTTATTGGTTAACCAAATGGAAAATCTGGGAAAAAGCTGAAGTTAATCATAAAAAAACAAACTTTATCTCAGTTGATGTGCAGCTCCTGACACGACATCACCTCCAGCTGCAGGTTTGGTGAGACTGACTTCCCTGAGTGTCAGTGAGGAATAAACACATTGGACATTACTGCTGCTGCCTCCTGAGCCTCTGAGCTCCTGCACTGTCAGGATGAGGAATTCCAAAGCTTAATTAGCATCAGGTTTCCCCAGCCCCGAATTAACCCTTCAGCTTCCCTGCATCTCCACACAGGACCTCCCCATGAAGACAGAAAGACAGAATACACTTATTTATTTCAAATGATCCCTCTGTTCTCTTTTCAAAGTGTCATGCTTTATGGCAGAGTTTTGGAGTCATGCTAAGAATAAATGAGGCAGATTTATTTTTCTTTTGCATTTCCAGAATAAAGTCAACAGTTTGAGAATGACATCATTTTTTGGAAATATTGAAGCATATAGAAGAAACATCCAACTAAAGGAGGGGGAGATTTTCTTGTATGTTGTAAATAAAGTTGTGATGCCAAGAATGAAGGAAGTGGAAATGTCAAAGAATAAATTCTAAATGTCAAAGAATAAATTCTAAATGTCAAGAAAAACATCCAAAAACTTCGGTGTTTTCTAAATAATTGAATAAAAAACATTGAATTATTGATAAAATTCATTTTTTTTCTTTGAAATTTCAAGTTTATTCTCAACATTTCACCTTAATTTTCTTGTCATTTAGTTCCTTACGCCCCACCACTCTTCACTTTTGCTCTAATTCTCTTCCGTACTTTCCTGACTGTCACTTTTCATTTCCCTCACTGTTGACTCTCCTTCCTCCCAAAGAGAAAGTGATTGTTGAGACAGCTGCTGGTCCTCAACCCTGTATTCTCCATGTTATACAGGCCTTGTCAACACCGAGCTGCCCTCGTTATAGACAAAGCCAACAAAGGTCAAACTTTTGTTGAAGGGACTTGTGGCAGAAGTCAGGAATGTGAAATCCGCAGCTGCTTTCTCCTAATAAATCTCATCTCAGTGTTTCCAACCTCAGGTCCGGTGGGGGGGTTATCTGAGGCTGATGTGTGGGGTAGTTTGGCAGATTATGTTGTAAATGTCTGTTTGAAAATGTGGAGGTCAGGTAGGGAGTCAATTACTGCCAAGTACAGAAAAGTTTAAATGATGACATCTATTTCCTCCCATTTACTTTGATTATCCTCCAACTTTTACAAACTCGTTTCATCATAATATCAAAAACATGATTCATCTTGTTTTGAATCTCAGAGCTTTGACATTTCTTATCTCACAATTTGAACTTTGACTCATTATATTTGACGTGGATTTCCCTTAATGTTGACATTTTATGATCTCTCGTTATTTCCATTAACTTTCTTTTCCACATTGAAGTTTCACTCCTGTTAAACAAAACAAACCTCAGTTTTCTTGTTTTCTGGAAACTGTTGGTAAATAAGTGCTGCCAAAGAGAGCGGAGGGGCTCTGAGGAATCAGCTGCATACGTACAAAAACATCCAGTTAATTGGTCGTTATTCTTCTGGTGCAAACGAGCAGCGTGGATTATTTCACCGCAAAAAAAAAAAAAAAAAAAAAAAAGCACTGCGGCCGGTCTGAGCTGCTCCACACCACCCACAGAGTTCAATGGTGTTTGGCATGTACAGTACAGC